TTGGGTTGGAAAAGACCTCAAAGTATCTCCAGTGTCACCCCCCTGCCACAGGCAGGGACACCTTCCCCCCAGCCCCGTCCAACCTGGCCTTGAACCCTTCCAGGGAGGGGGCAGCCACAGCTGCTCTGGGCACCCTGGGTCAGCACCTCACCCCCCGCACAGGGAAGGATTTCTGCCTTTTATCTAACTTAAATCTCCCCTCTTTCAGCTTAAAACCATTACCCCCCCATCCCATCCCCACACCCCTGACCCAGAGTCCCCCCCCACCTTTCCTGTCCCCCCTTTAAGCCCTGGGAGGCCGCTTGAAGGTCCACCCGGAGCCTTCTCTTCTCCAGGCTGACCCCCCCCAACTCTCTCAGCCCGGCCTCCCAGGGGAGCTGCTCCAGCCCCCCCAGCATCTCCGTGGCCTCCTCTGTCCCCGCTCGAGCAGCTCCGTGTCCTTCTGCTGTTGGGGGCCCCCGAGCTGGCCCCAGCACTGCAGGGGGGTCTCCCCAGAGCGGAGCAGAGGGGGAGAATCCCCTCCCTGGCCCCGCTGCCCCCCCTGCTCTGGAAGCAGCATGAAGGCAGAGCACCCCAGGCACAGCCGAACTGAAAAGCTTTGTGCTGCTAAGAGCAGCCGGTGACTGACGCTCCCCACTGCCCCGCGCGTGGCACAGCCCCCACTTCAGGGCAGACTCGCCACTCGCTGATTTCGGGGGTACCTGCCCACACCCCCAAACCCAGCCTCGCCCTGGGGGGCTTTTGGGAAAAGAGGAAACGTGTCTGTGCCCCTGCTTGGGGATGCCCCAGTGCCCGGGGATGCCCTGAAACGCCCCAATTCCCGGGGATGCCCCTGGTGCCCGGGGACACTGTTCCTTACTTGTGGTTGCGGTTGGGCACGGCCTGCGGTTGCACCTGCTGAAGCTGCTGAGGCGCCGGCCTCTTGCGGGCCTGGTCCAGGCTGGCCTGCGCCATCCCCGGCCGCACCGCCGGGCTCCCGCCGTAACCGGGCGGCCCCATGGAGGGGCCCTGTGGCGCCAGGCGACTGCCCGGTAACATCCCGGGGCGCTGCGGAGAGAAGAAAACCGGTTCAGTGCCCACCGGGAGGAGCCGTCGCCGTCGCCGTCCCCGCCACCCCCGCTCCGCCCCGCCCCGCGCAGCGCAGCGCCGGTCCCTCCCCCGCCTCACCGGGTAGGCGGCTCCCGGCAGCGGCGAGCGGTACAAGCCCTGTCCCGGAGCTGGGCCCATGCGCACCGGCCCGCCCGGCGTGCCCGGTCCCAGCGCTCCGGCCCCGGCAGCGGCCCCGCCGCCGCCGCTGCTGGGAGTCACCGACTGGAATCCCGCCCGCGCCGCCATCTTCTCCAGCACAAAGGGGAGCGGGCCGGAACCGGATGCGCGGCATAGAGAGCCCGCGCGGGTGCCGCGCTAGAAAGGCGCCGCGCGCACCCGCCGCCCTCTGCTGGCCGGAGGCCCCCCCCGAGGAGCGCGGTGTGGGGCGGGAGCGGAGCCGGGTCCTGGGGGGCTGTGTGTGTGTTTGGGGTGATGGGGCACGGCCCTGGGGCTACAGGGGACGGGAAGAGCCTGAGGGCAAGGTCCAGGGGGGTTAGGGAAGGGTACAGCTTCCCGGGGGCGGCGTCTGTGGGGACCCTGCGGGGGATGCAAGGGGCCACGGGGGAGTGGAGAGGTCTGCGGGTGCGAGGAGCAGGGGGGCGCGTGAGGGGCTCCCCACTCTCTGCAAAACCACCCGTCAGAGAATCTGCAGGTCCTCGAATCCATAGACACCGAGGGCCCTTCAGGGGCTCCTCTGCTTACCCCGGCCGACATCGCGCTCATTCTCATCTCTCCTGCCTTATTTTAGCCTGGCTGATTTCCACCACAGCCGTCAGAGTTGCTGCACAGGAGTTGAGGGTTGGGGTGTCAGTCCCACGCTTGCCAGGCCCTAATTGTAGCGCTCTTACAAATACAGGTGTATTGCAGAAGATGCTGGTCCCGAAACCTCCCTTGCTCTGGGATGTGCTCAGATCAAGGTGGCTTTGCCCGCTGTGGGGATGGAGGACTCCAAAGTGCAGACATGGCAGTAACACCTCTCACCAGGACCGTTGTCCTTAACATGTTAAGAAGTAATCTTATGGGGGCATAAATGGACATGAATGGAGTCAGTTTCTTCAGGTTTAGGCTGAGCACCCAGGAACAGGATTCTTATCTCCCTTGACAGTGGCTTGGGTTGCTACAGAAAGTGTGACGTTAGAATTAAAGGCCACTTTCTGCAAGTATTAGCATTAAGTTCCCTATTCCTTGGAGCACCCAGCCTCGCCGTTGCTCGGAGAGAAGAGGGACACAAATCCAGCCAGCATTAATCTGTGAAGAAAAGCCAAGTGAGCAGTCACACCACAAGTATTAATTAGGCAATTAATGATAATCATGGGTCATTTTGGAGGCTGTCCTGTACAGTGCATGGCATTGTTGACTGACCAAAGTACTGGGGATATGTTGGCACCTTCTCTATCAGATATGGCATTTCCTATCCTCAATGAAAAACATGAAGCTTTGCGCACAGCCATTAACTGTTGCCTCAGCATCCATGTGTCCGTGCAGTTAATTTAATGCTACCTCCAACAGGCTTGGCGCCCAGCAGCCTTATGAAATATTCATGGGGAGGAAAAGCAGTGGAACTTATCTGCTTCGTATTGTTCAGATGCAACTTTGTCTGAGACTTAAAGCCTGGCGGGAACCTTTTGGGCAGGCTGGAAAGCTGCCTGGCTCTCTCGGGAGGGATATGCAGAGTGAGGTGGGCTGAGAGGGAGCGAAAGCAAAGGCTGAGCCGAGAAGCGGGGAGAGGGAAGTGGGACTCTTCGCTCAGCCTGGCACAGGGAGCTGTGGGGTCTTCAGAGCCCCCTGACTGCATGAGCCGAGCTGGGAGCGACCCCAGCCCTCTGTCCCCGGGGATGCTCTCTGTCCCCTGATACTAGCTGCATCTTCTAAGAAACACAAGGAGAAAATAACCCCAGCTTCCTTGGCTCAGTGTCTCCTTACACTTGTCCTTTCTTGTGCCCTGAGGGTTTGGTTGCTTCACTCCTCCCAGTGGAAATGGTTTGCGAAACGCTACCCCGTGCACCTTCATTTTACTGCACCTGCTGGCACAAGGCAGCTCCTCTGAAACCTTCTTCCTCAACCAGTATGGCTCTGGCTCCAGGCAGCCGAACAGCATCCAGGACTGTGTAATTATATCCCAGCGCCTGTTTTTGCTGGCAGCTTTAGCAGTGAGCAAGTGGTAACCGGGAATTATTGCCGGGGAGGAGAAGAGGTGATGCTATCTCTGCCGTCGTTATATGTGCGTTGCATGATTAATCCTTGCTCTGTAGGGTTTCAGCAGCCACACAATCTGTAAGGTAAACACAGCAGCATGCAAGCGAACGCTTCCCAGCATCTCAGGCCTGGGCGTGCCACACCCCGTCCTCTCGCGTGGATCGTCAGAGATGCTTCACCGTGAAACGTAATTAACTCCTTGTCTCGTGCACAGCGTGAGCCTCGCGCCGCCGGGCGACAGAGGCGGACGCGTGTGCACAGGAGCGCCCGCTGCCTCCACCTCACACCTTGCAGGCTGCCAGCCCCGTGCAGCCCGCAGGCGGGGCGCCGGGCCGCCGTAATCCCCAACGGGCTGACGCTCCCCGGCCCGCGCGCGCCATCCCGCAGCGCTCCGGCGGTGCACCTTGGAGCCTCGAGGCTGAAAACGTGCCGCTTTTCCACTCCGTAGCTGCTCACCTCGGCGTCCTGTCTGGCTACCCGCTGTACACGCGTGGGAATCGCCTCGGCCGTGCCGCTTTTGGGGTCCAGGCACCTCCTCTGCGAGCCCGTTGCAGGCCGTGGCTCACAGACACCGTGTCCAGCGGCAGCAGAAACCTCGGCCGGCCGGGCTGGGGCTGGGGCTGAGCCTATGCAATGCGAGGCTGTGACAGATGGATGGGGTGACCTGCTCCCAGCACAGCCCAGCAGGTTAATGGAGAGCTGTGGAAGAGATTACAGCTCGCAGAGACAGGGTCACTGCCTGCCCCCCACAACAGGAGCTGCTGTGAATGCCGCTGCGGAGGGAGCCAGCACCGTCAGCTGCTCTGGCTACTTGCAGTAGCTGGCTGCAATTAATTTAGGTTCATTAACTCCCTTCTGGGCTCAGCTATATTATCGTGTTCCTATTCAAAGCCCACCTTATGGCCTTTGCAGCACCAGCTCTGGCAGAGAAGGACCAGAATAGCAGTAAGACCATTCTAGTTTAAATGCAAAACACCCATCTGCCATTTCCAGGAGCGACTGGGACATGGCCAGAGCCAAGTGACCAGAGGGAGTTTGGCATTTCAGTATTCCCTGCCCACTGCCCACTCACTATTATTCAGTCTCCATGGGGTCCTGAGGGCTTTTTTGGATGGCCAGTGTTGGATCTGGCACATTACTTTTGCTCTTTGTAGCTGGAAATTTGTAGGACAAAAAGCATGTTTACATATGGCTCGTGCTACAACTGCTACTAACTTGGTTAAATTAAAAACAGGTGATATTCCAGCTAGTGACTCATTTCTGCTGCATCTCAGGTGTCTATCCCAAACCACAGAAGTGTTAGAGTTGTCAAAGATTAGCAGCTGTGCATGTGTTAATTGTCCTCCCTCTGCTTGAGAGCAGAAGTGGGTTCCCATCCTCCAGGCCTAAGTGTCCCTCAGGGCATGTTCACGTGGCAGCACAGGACCAGGGAGCGATGTGGGAGCTCACGAAGTCACCCGGAGCAATCCCCACGCAAAGGGACGCTTTAATGGGACCCTCTTCAGCATCAGCTCTGATGCTGCTGGTATTGGAGTGTGTATTTAGAGACAGCGCTGGAAATCTGGACCAAAGCTTTATTTATCCTTCCCCCCCTCCTTTTGGTCTTGGCTCCAGGATTTCAGCGATGTCTTCAAGAACATCCCAGGATGATGCCGTCCCTACCTGCCTCCTTGGGGAGCATTTCCAGCAGCTCAGCAAGAGAGAAAGGCTCGGTGTTCATGAGTTATATCATTCTTTATATCATCGTTAAGAGTAGCAGGTATTGATGTACAATGCATCTGTCATCTTATTGTGCTTCCTATGAAAATGTGTGTACATAGTACAGATACCAGAGAGAATTCAACACTTTATACACTTGAAGGCATTCAGAGATCAGTAACAGAAAAAAAAAATGGCACAAGAACAAGGCCTAAATGCTACTAGATGGGTATCTACACTGATATGATGCATATATAGAGATATATATATATATGTACACATATATATATAGTCATATATATTATATATAAGAAATATAAAATGCAGATGACATAATAGAAACAAACAAAAAAGTGTATGCTTCAACAGGTGAGCGTCAAGGTCAAATCCCAGCCCCATCTTTAAAAGCTTTAATGGGAAGGAGAAAGAAAGAAAATAAATAAATGAAACGCAATGAAACATTAGGAAAAATCCATAAGAAAATTTATGGATGTGGCTGACCCGTCATCTTTGGGCAATCGCTGGATACAAAGGACTGACCCCCAGTTCCTAATTTTGGTCAGGAAGCAAATAATAATAATAATTATAATGACAATAATAAAAACAAAACTACCGTTTAGAAATAATTACCAAAAAGACTTATTGCAAAAGCTCTTAAAGATAAGTAGCACTTCAGCCCTGGGAGGGCTCTTGCTCGATGCGTGGGGCCCGGGGGCTGGCAGGGGCTGGGGGAGGCCAATTTCCACCGACCCTGGAGCGAAACAGCGGTGCGCTTGCGGGCCCGGGGGAGCAGAGACTCGGCCAGCGCCGGCCCCCGGCTGCCGGGGCAGGTCTCTGCGTGCGGGGGAGAGGGCAGCGACGGGAGGAGCAGCGGCGGTCCCGGGGCAGCGAGCCGGCGGATGCCCCCCAAAGATGCCCAGGGCTCGTGGTGCCCGGGGGCAGCTGCTGTCGGGGGGGTGGGGTGGGGTGTTTCAGCGGGGTGGGAGCCTGCGGTCCCGTGGACCAGAGCACCCGGTGCCGTGGGGTGACCCTCAAGCTACGAACCCTTTTGGTGGTGGGGTTCCTGCGCCCGCCTGGCCCAGGCGGTGCCAAGGGGCTGTCCCTCGCGGTGCGCCGAGCCGGGCCGGTGGCTGCAGCAAAAATGGGGGGCAGGAGCTTTCCTTCCGCCTTTCGCCCCGAGGATGGCTGTTTTGGGGGGGCCGCACGGGGACAAGAGGGACTGCGGGGCAGGGCTAGTGCTGGCCAGGCTGCATGGAGCCCAGGAGAGATGGGCAGGGAGACCACAACGTCGCCCAACCTGGCATGGCTGAGGGAGAGTGCCCGGGCGACGGGGTCTTCAGCGCCGAGGTGGCATCCCCCATCCGAGTCCCCTCGGATGCTCGCGGCCGGCCAGCGAGCTCAGTGGCCGGGCACTGCCGTCCCTGGGGCAGCGTGCTGAGGAAGACGTTTCGGAGGGGTGGAGGTGCCCCGTCTTCATGCGCATCGGGTGGCCAGGAGTGCCCAGGCAAGGGCGGGCTGCGGGCCACCGCGGTCCCAGGGGACGACGGCGAGGCTCTCCTGGGACTGCCGAACCCGCTGCTGGGCACGCCGTGGGGCTCCTCGATGATCCCTCCTGCCAGGCACGGGGGTCCCAGCAAGTGCCGGCTGAAGGCGTTGGAGCAGGATGGGCATGGAGACAATGGATGGACAGACGGACAGGGCTGTGGATGGAGACTCTGCAGCCGAACGGCTGCTTCTTCTTGGCTTCTGGGTTTCTAGTTAAAAAGGCCGAGGGGAGCTGAGGGGAGGAGATGGGGCAGGCCTGTGCCCCAGCCCGCTGTGCGTGTCGCTCCCCGCACCGCAAGGATGGCCGGGGCTGGAGCGTCCTCGAGTCTCTGAACTAGCGGGGCAGGCGCGGAGCAGCTGCCGCGGGGGCTGCGCGCCGGCTTCGAGCATGACCCGACCCGACCCGACCGCCTGCCCCGAAATCCGAGGCCGTCGCTCTTGTCCGTGTCCCACCGTAGCGAGGAGCAAGGTCCCCTAGATGTGTCTCTCCGCTGGCGCTCGCAGGGAGAAGGGCAGCTCTCCGGAGGGCTTTGGTAGCTCAGGTTGTACATCCAGACGTCGGTTAGCAGGTGAAGTCCTCAAAGGTGCCCCGGGCCGGGTGGTGAGGTAGGATGTTGGCTGCGTACGTCATGCCTGCCGGGTGGCCCCGTATGCTTTCACAGGGATTCTGCGGGGCAGAGGATGGACGGGCTGCTGGAGCCACTGGTTTCACCCAGACCCCCCCAGAGAGCGAGTCCTGTCTCCCCACAGCATCTCCAAGCGCTCCCCAAAACAGTGACACACACACACGCACCCCAACACATCTGGGACAGCCTCTGAGCTGCAAGAGGGGACCAGCAGCCCCTGTGGCATGCCCGGCACTTACATGGCGTTTCACGTCGTCCATGCTCAGCGCGACGCCCTTGTCCGTGTTGTTCCTCTTGTGGTTCTTGCGGCACTTGCCCCGCCGGCACAGCCGGTGCTTTATCACCTGCCAGAGCCAGATTTCAGCACCGGGGGGGCTCATGGGTGGCTCTTCCCCATGTCCCACACGAGCCTTTTGCTGCTCAAGGATAACCTGCGCCTCCCTGGCAGCCGTGAGATGGCAGATACACTCACCTCGTAGGCGTAGTCGAACAGCTCCAGTACTGTGAGGATACTGGCCCCAATGAACAGCCCCATCTGCCCTCCAATGTCACCTGCAGAGGAGAGGGAAGCCATCAGCGTGGTGCGAGTCCGGCGTCCGGTGGCAGAGGGAGCAGAGAAAGGGCAGAACTCATCACAGCTGTGACTGGTGCCTGGCCGTGGCAGCAGGGTGCCCCGCTCTGCATCATCCACGCTGCCAGCACGTCCCAGTGCCTCGGGAACGGGGCCACAGCGCATGGGACCAACCTGAGACCACCTCGTTGGAGGGTGCCGGCTGGGTGCTGCCACCGGACCCCCGGCACAGCCCACCAACACTCACCCAGCAAGCCGGCCACCTCGTACGCCTTCTTCTGCTCGATCGTCTCGTAGTTCAGGGCTTCAAAGAAGATATCCAGCACCAGGATGTTCTCCCTGCGCAGGACATAAGCGGCGTCAGGCTGAGATTTTTGGGATGGAGGGAGAAGGTGCCGCCCCATCGCCGTGGCCGCGGGACGTTACCCGATGTACTGCTCCGACTTGTTGTACTTCTTGGCCAGGTACTTGGCGGAGGCCTTGCTGGGGATCTTCACCATGGAGAGCTCTTTGCCATAGCGGGTGACATTGCAGGGCATCTCGCAGACGCAGTACTCATTGTCCTTCTCCACCAGGAAATCTGGGCAGGGAGAGAGGGAGATGGAGAGATGGAGAAATCCAACACCCACAGCTCGCTCCCACAGGGCTGGGCAGCCTCACCTAAAGCCGGATCCGCGCACTCCTTGTACTGCTCCGGGGTGCAGTAAGGGGCATCTCCTGGAGGAGAGAAAAAGGTTTTCCGGGGGGCTGAGCACAGGGAGGGGTCCAGGCCCTGCGGCGCAGGGCTTACCTGGCATGTGCACCATGCGGCAGTTGCAGTTCTCCACCAAGTAGCGGGTCTCGCAGTCGATGCGGCAGGCCGTGATGCTGTAGGTGTCGTAAAACTCCGAGTCACCCGCCACGGCCTTGCAGTCGCCCCAGGGAGGCGGCAGGTAGATGAGCTGGGAGGGGGCAGAAGCCAGGAGTGAGGAGAGAGAAGCCCACCGGCCCCCGGCAAGGGACAGACACCCTTGCTGCATCGGTCCCCAAGACCAGGTCCCCCTCTCCATGTGATGTGGGGTCAGGGGCGCGGGGAGGAGGCTCAGCATCCCACGGCCCCCCTAACCCTGGGAAGGAGCATCCCCAGACCCCCCCCCCCCCCAGTGCCTACCCGCTGCTCCTGGCAGGACACAAAGGTCTGGAAGCCGGGAGCCACCCCGAAGCCCAGCTGGTCGATCAGCGGCGGCTCGTCCTGGCTGTGGATCTGCACCTTGATCCCGGCTTCGAACGAGGTCTCGTCTGCGGCAGAGAGAAGCGGGGTGAGCATCATGCTGCGCTGAGCCCTGCTGCAAGAGGGACCAAAACTTCTCCCGTCTCCCACCCTTCCCCTGAGCGAATTCATTTGTCCGTATGTCCATCCACCCGTCCATCTGTCAACGTCCTTGTCCCCTCCGCCTCTGACCCTCCTGCTCCCGCACCCGGCGAGAGCGGCAGGGAAAGCATTTGCCTCTATTTATAAACAAGCGATGGCTGCTTGTCTAAACCGATGGGGAGTTGCCATGGCGAAGAGCAAAGACAAGGAGGAAAAAGGAAAGAAAAGGACTCAAAGTGATGAGAAATGGAAGGAGGGAAGAGGAGGGAGCCTGAGGGACGTGGACCTGTGCGGGGGGAGCTGGGAAGGGCAGGAAGCACCCTGGGAGCTGGCGGTGACGGAGCGGACCTGCTGGCAGAGCCCCAGGGGCAGTGGGTTACCTGTTTCCCCCCACACGGGCAGGTACTCGTCCTGCTGAATGTCCAGCATGATCTCCAGGCCATTGCCGGTGCCCCCCTTCATGGTGATGAGCCGGGGCTTCCCGTCCTGCCCGGCATTGAAGGTGTAGCACTTCCCATAGCGGGTGAAGACCTGCAGGAAAGGACGTGGGGCTGAGGCTGGGGCCCCTCTGCCAGCACCAAACTGCTGCCGGCACCGCAGCATGGAGCTGGGTGGGCATCACCAGCCCCGAAACACCCCGAAACACAACCTGGGTTGTCTCCGAGCCAGGCTCCTGCCCTACGGGGCGCCTCTCCCTGTTGGAACTGCCCGTCTTTGCCCCAGTGAAGATGTTCCCCACGGGGGCACAAGGGATGGCACCGACTCGGAGGAGGCACTTTGCAGATTTACAGCACCCCGGCCCCACAGACCCCACGGCAGCCCCAGCTCCCCGAGACGGCGGCGCTCAGCCCTACGCCCGCACCAGCTCCCCCTCCCAGCCCCACAGAGGACGGGGCTGGATGGGATCCTGACCCCCCCCCCCCTCCCCGTCCCTCCTCAGCTGTTCCAGCTAACGCCTCCGGCAGCCAGCACGTCTCCACACCCGCGGAGCTGCTGCCAGCCCAGGCGAGGGGGCATGTGAGGCTGCAGACCGCATGGTGCCCCCCGGGCGGTGGTGATGCCACGATGGAGGTGCCAGGCACAGCCCTGGGGCTGCTTTCTGCCTCTTGCCAGCGGGTCTCCGCAGCCGGTGCCATCCCCATCTCCAGCGAGACACCCAGGTGCCAGCGGACGGGGCTGAAATTTCAGCCTGTCCCTGAACGAGCTGGCAAGGCCAGGGTCACCCGCCGTGCCTGATCCGGCACGATGCTGGCCGCTCCCCGTGCCTGGTTGCCTTGGGGGGCTACTCACCGCCACAAAGTCGTCAGGGCCGCACTGCTCGCCCCGGTAGCTGCAGCTCAGCAGCATGTCCTCCAACTGGTGGCAAGTGCGGTTAAAAAACCCGTACAAATTTAGGGGCTCATCCTCATCCCAGGGGTCAGACTGGGCTGGGGTGAAGCCCAGCTCCATCCCGGGCTCGTAGTCGACCAGCGGGGCCAGGTAGAGCAGGTCCTCGTGGCTGAGCTGTGAGACCCGCACACGGTTGATATTGCAGAAGGTGACGGCAGGGAAGGTCATCGCGGGGCTTTCCTCCTCGCTGAGCAGCGTGACGTGGTGGTACTCCAGGTAGTAGACGATGCGGTCGGCCACCTGGTAGAGGAAGACGGAGAGGGAGAGGAGGAAGGCCACCGCCCAGAATGCCTGCCGAGCGCCCAGGCTGCCCTCCACGAAGATGTGGCTCAGCCCGTGCAGCGTGCAGCTGCTGGCAAAGGCCACGAAGTCTGTGGCTGCCCCTGCGTCCTCCTCCTCCTCCTCTTCATCCTCCTCCTGCCCATACAGGAACTCATCTGCTCCATCCTCTCCCTCCTCGGCGGCTGCAGGATCTTGTGGTCTTTCCTCGTTGGAGAAGGAGATGGTGCAGAATATCTGGAGAGGCATTGTCCAGCGTGGGGGTCCCAGCTCTGTTGTGGAGGTCCTGGCTCTGGCGTGGGGGTCCTGGCTCCGGCGTGGGGGTCCTGGCTCTGGTGTGGGGGTCCTGGCTCCAGAGTCGGGGTCCTGGCTCCAGAGTCGGGGTCCTGGCCCCTGCCCTGCCACAGCCTGGGGGTTGTTGATGGTGGGTGGGTTCCTCAGGGTGTGGGTGAGAGGGGCTGGGGGAGAGCAGGGAAGGAGGAAGAGGCAAGTTCAGAGAATAGAAACGGAGAAGGGAAAATGAGCGGGAGGTGAGCGGGAGCGAGGGAGAGGAGCAGAGGGATGCTTGGAGGGGACGGAGAGAGGAGGGTATATGAGGAGCAGGGAGGAGGAGCGAGGGGCGGTTCTGCGGGCTCCCCAGGTCCCCCGGGACGGGCCGGCTGCGGCTGGCAGGACGGAGCAGAGCCATCGCCGGCTCCCGAAGCGTCGGGAGCTGCCGGTGCTGTCTGGGGGGCCCGAGGGGCTGCCAGCTCCGGCACCCGGCGTGCTGCGTGCCCACACCGCATCCTCCATCCTCGCTGCGGGGCGGCAACGGCCCTGGCAGCCTGGCCGGCTGCTCCAGCCAGGCCCTCCCCGCCGGGCGCCAGGCTGCTTCCAGAGCCGCCATATGCCGGGGCTCTTCGGCAGGGCAACTGGAGCAGGGCAAACTGGAGGTTTTCCCCAAAATATCCGTGACGCTGGCCGGTTGCAGCGCCCACCCAGGTGGTGCCAGCCGGGGTGACGGGATGCTGTGGTGTCCCCAAGCTCTCGCGTTGCTCGTCCTGCCCCGGCAGCACCCGCTGCTGTGGGCTCATCTCCCCGGGCCGCGGGGCGGCGTCTGGCCAAGGCGATGTCCCGAGCGGTGCGAGGTCCGTCCTCCTCCGAGCCCCAGGGCTGGATCTGGCAGGATTTGGGCGCCGCCGTGGTTCAGGTGACGACTCCTGCGTGGTGTGTCACCTCGTGCTTTGGATCTGTGGCGGGGCACAGGGAAGCCACCGCTTCCCCCGGGGATGACGTCCAGGCCTCGTGCTGCTGAGCCGGCTGGGCTGGGGGTCCCGGGGAGGGAGCAATGCTGCAGGTTGCTGGGGATGGAGCCGGCGGCCAGCCTGGCTGCCGAGAGCAACGGCGTCTCCTCCCTGCAGCCCTGCAGCAGCACAGCCCCTTCTCGTGGTTTGCCTTTTTTTTTTTTTTTTTTTTTTTTTTTTTCCCCTGCACTCAGCACTTCATAAAAGCATCTGATGCGACCACAGAGCAATCTCCAGCCCCATCCCAGCGCCGCAGCCGCCATCGCTGGCCCACGGGGAAGGGGAGCATCTAAATACGGCAGCGCTTCGATGCGCAAGAGCTGGACGGGAGGTTTTGACCGATGCTCGGGTGCCATAAGCCCGCCCCAGCCTGCCGGTGCCTCCTTCCCCACATGCACTGGGGGGGTCTCCAGTCCCTGGGCACATCCTGGCTCGTGGATATGGCACCACCAAAACAGGTGAACAAATACAACTGGGAAACTTGTATAAATCTGATCTGATCCCAATGCAAAGTTATCTGCTCTTCCCGAGCAAGTGACACCGGTGTAATGGGCAGGGCGTGCACTGGGGATCCCTGCCAGGACAGGCCCAGCCAAGATGCTGACTGATGATGTGACAGTGGGATGTCCCTTGAGGGGCTGTCCTGGGGCTTCCCAGTTGCCACAAAGCTGGGGACACCGTCAGCACCTGGGAAAAAGGGTGGGTGACTTTGGGGACGAGCGCCAGCGCCGCCAGATGAAATCTCGTAAAGCCAAGAGCAAGGTCGCGCCTTTTGGGAGCAACCCAGAGAGTCTGAGCTGGAAACTCATCCCGGGAAATGGGACCAGGGAGGCGGATTGGGTGGCTGGGAGCCACCACGGTGCCGTGGGGACTTGGTCACATCCCAGCCTTTTGCCTTTGATGGAGACGAGCTGTAGCTGCACCGTGGGCAGGGCTGGGCTAAAGAGGCATCAGGGCTTCACTTGGGAGGGGGCCTGGGGGCACCGGGTTAGCTGGGAGCAAACTGGGCGGATCACACACAAACTGGTGCTGGAGGATGCTTTTGGCAGGGAGTGAGCAGGTCTGAGCTGGCTGAGGCTGGGGTCGGATTTCTGCTGCCCCCCCAGCTCTAGGACAGGGAGTTTCTGTGCAATGGCTGTAGGAGGGAGAGGAGAAGGAAAATGGAAGAGAAGCCTGAAGGGATTTGTTTAACCTTGGCAGGGCACTGAGGGGTGAGCAGTGCTGCCCGTGGCCCAGTCCCTGCCGGTGTGAGCGAGGGGCTGATCTGATCCCACGGCATGGGGAGGTTTAATGTGTCTTCTTGGGAGCAATTGCAGCAGGGAGAGGGAGATGCTGTAATGAAAACACTCCGTCATCGCCTGGGGCCATTAACCTGCCTTGTTCGGCTTAAACAGCTTGCTGGGGCAGCGAGGATGAGCGCTGCCTCGGCTCCGGTTACGGCCGCCTGTCCCAGAGCTGACACTTGAGCCGGGGTGAAGGTGACCGAGGACGGTGACAGCCGGGAGCACGGTGGCACCGGCCCTCAGGGGAGCGTGTCCTGACCCCACGACTGGGGACAAACTGTGGCCGTGTCCCCACGTTGCAGGCGGGAGGGTGCCGTCCTGGTTTGTGCAAGTTTTGGAGATGCTGGAGGAGTCCTTGGGCTCGTTCCAGCTCCTCCCTCACCAGGAGTTATTTTTACCCTCTCTCAGGTAAAGCTTTGGCGGGGGAGAGGGGTGGGGGGGATGCTATAATTAGCCGTGACATCAGCCCCCGTGGTGGCGCGTGCTGGGATGATGCCACCACACCCCGACCCACCACTGGGGACCACGGATGCTCGATGCCCTCCTCCCTGCCGCAGCGAGGGACGCGGGATGCTGGAAGGAGCCTGGTTTTTCCTGGCTCCAGCGTAGTGTTTGGCCACTGTCCTGCAGCGGTGCGGCCCCGCTCGCTGCTTTGCAGCTCGTCACGGGCCCGGGAAAGGAGGTTCCCCAGAGCGGGGGAGCACGGAGGCGGCGGGGCGGGGGGGGGGGGTGGGAAGCGGGAGGAGGATTTGACGGCAGCAACAGCACATTTCACAGCCTGTCACGCTTTAATGGCAGAGGAGATCAAAGCCGGGATGGAGTTATTCATAGAGATAAACCAATCCCCGAGGAGGCGAAGAGAAAACAACATTGCAAGCTCTGTTATCCCAGGCCTGCAAGCGGCAGCCCAGCCCTGGGGAGGCTGTCGCAGAAGGCACCCCGGGAGCTGGACCAGCTCGGTTTATTAACGGGGTGCTGCCTGCATCAGCCCCAGGGGTGCCCGGAGCTGACCGGTGGGAAGGGATGAGGCGGGGGGTGCAACCCCACAGCAGCCAGGAGCAGGATCCGGGGAGGGGATGGATGTTTGACAGGGGAGATGGGCACCCCGCAGTCGGGCTGTCCTGCTCCCACGACACAGCTGGGTGCGTTGCGTCGGAAGGGAGAAAAATCAGGTTTGCAGTGTGCCTCGGCCCATGAACGTGCTTTGCAGCTCCCTGAGCTGTCAAGATGGTGGTGGCGGCACCCGCAGTGCCTCTGTGGCTGCTCTGGGCAGGATGAGCTGCTTTGGGATGGCTTTGGGGCTGCAGATCCTCTCCCTGACCCTGGTGAGAGGCAGAGTCGGGGCAGCCGAGTAAGGTGGGATTGCCCGGGCAGCCGGGATCTCTGCCGGGACTAATCCTGCTGCCCCTTATCAGATGCTGCCACCTTGCCTCCGCTCACTCCGCCAGCCAAGCCGGGCGCAGCTTGTGTTATCCGGCTCTTTATCCCTCAGATTAGATGCTTCACAGTGGATTAGCATGTCACATTCTAATGCAGAAAAATTGATGATTAAAAAGGAGTTTTTCCTCCGTATTATTCCCCACCTCCGCCTCCTCTCCACCCCATCCCCGCGGGCCCAGGCAGTCCAGCCTCAGCCGTGGGGACCGGTGCTGCTGCGGCGCTGGGTGATGCGGGAGCCCCGTCCCTGGCTCACACAGAGGGACGGGAAACCAAAGGTCCCTTTTTGGGACGGTGCAGGGCTCACGCGCTCCGTCCCGCCTGCTGTTGGTGGCAGGGCTCGGGGTGCAGGGGCCGGGTGCTCCGGGTCCCTGTGCCATTCTGCCCCGGGGTTATCGGCGGCAGACCCAGCCTCTGCAGCACAGGACTTTAATAAAAAGCACATTATGGTGAGTAATGCGCTAAGTGGACTTCATTATGGACCTGGGGCCTCCCTGGCTCCCGTTGTTCCATATGATTTCATATCAGATGAGCCTTATCTCCTCTCCAAACGCTTCCATTTAAACTCCATTAATCTTTCAAAGCTTCCCCGAGCCTGCGCTGCCAAGCGCTTCCCCGCCAGCCCAGCCGGTGCTGCTGCCCTGGGCACAGAGGCCACCCACAGCCCCGGGGGCTCCGGGGGGCTCGGCCGGGACCCCCCGCAACTCCGTATGGACCTTCGGCCGGGCCCTCGCCTGCACGGCCGCCGTGACGGCTCCCACAGCCACCTTATCCTCCTTGCCGGGGATCTATTTACGCTCCTATAATTGAAACAGTTTGTAATGCTGAGAGCTTTCCGGGTGATTTACCCGCTGGTGATGTCCCTTTGTGCCATGGAGGGGTCACCGGGGCTGTGCCGGCTCCTGCCCTGCCGGGGTGCGGAGGATGCTGCCGAGGTGCCGCTAACTCCCAGCAGTTG